CATTTTATACATATATTTTCTTCATTTCAATGTGCAAAAAATTATTTGTGAAGCATGTTTTCTCACTACTCAATCTCATTTCGGTTTCATGTATTATTATTTAACAAGTTATAATCCAAACTTGCAGAGAGGACAAAATGGCATTGTCGAAATTAAGGGATACTGTAGTGACCAATTTCAATGAACGTGGAGATGAAATTCGGAAACACTGGGGTGGTGGTATTATGTCAGCTCGGTCGCAGGCCAAAAAAGCACGTATTGAAAAAGCTCGAGTAAAGGAACTTGTCCAAAAAGTATGATAAACTATAGCATATTTGTTATATTCGTTGGGACAAATCTGTTGGTGACGTTTCTGTACGTCCAGTATTTCAACTGTTTAACATGCACATTTTCAAGTAATTTTATAAAGTAAAATGTGATTAAAATTTGTTTTGGACCAAGATTTCGAGTGCAATGTAAACATAAACAGATTAAGAATGTGCAGTAATGTTAACTTCGCAAACAAGCGCTGCAGCAGACCTATGTGTGAAGATATACTCAACATGTCGGTTACTTCAAGGTATATAGAAGGAAGTGAAGTATGCCAACTTTTTGTTGCATAATGGCGTAGGAGATCTAGAATGTATGACTGTCCCACTTTTTGGCAAGCGAACTAAATTTGGTTCTAAACTTTATGCCCTCAACTTTTATGTATGTGGTGTTTTATCTTCTACTGCGTAATGCCATGTATTCTCGTTTTTGAGCTGAAACTCAACCCCAATGATTCTTCTATGATACAACAAGATACATAAACATCCCAGATTTTTGAGCTGAGGAATTTGGAGACTGCACAAAAACAAAAACTGCTCATCAACTTGCGGATTTCCTATCATTGCAGGTTTCAACCCACACACTTTCACTAAGAAATTGTAAATCTAGAATCTCATTACGAGGTACAAATACGTCGCCAATCTTTCGCCATTGATTATCTTCTGAGAATCCATAGAGCACCTGAAACTTAGAAGTCATGGTCGAACGTGTTCTCAAGAATAAACTCTGACAAATGGAAGAATTGCTGGCAATCGCTCCCCACTATCTCAACAACAATTATTCAGAGAAAACTGAATTACTTTGACTCTTTGAGACTGAAATTAGTATTACCTTCCCATTTTTCATTCCACTGTAAGTATTTAGATCTTCGCACAGAAGTCTTTGCCTTTTTGATTGTTGCATGATGATTTTTGCTCCAGTAATGAGTTGAGAAATCTGTCTATGGACTTCTTGCAGTACAAGATTCACCACATTATCATTGGCTATCTTTTCATGCAGAATGGGGTTGCTTAAGAGGAGTATATATATTTTTTATGCTGTGCAGTTTTTAAAGACAGTTATTTAAGAGCCATATAAATGGAATAAAAAAGTACAAAGTCCTTTTGAAAACTAGTGCCAAAATCAGACTATAATTAAGGATAGTAGCATCTTTTCGTGAATTTAGTTCAATTAGATCTAAAGTTTATAAGTGAGTTAAGTATTTTTGAGTAGAGAATACGGTTGTATTTCGCACGGAATGACTATTATATTTGCATACATCATAGATATAAACAAGTCAAACCTCATTGAGATGGCGAAGTTCCAAAAAGTATTGTGATTCAGTTTTGGATCATTAGATTCTTCATTATCCGCAATCTATCATATAAAAACAAAGCATAGAACTAGTGCAGTTCTCCAAATAAAGCTTTTAAAAAATTATAAAAGTAAATGAATCCGAAGTACTTATTTCAAGATCTCCGTGTATATGCACAAGCATTTTAATTTTCATCAGATCTATAAACCATTATTTAATAATTTACAAAACGAATAGCTAACATAAGTTCAAATCTCTGATACAGTGCTGACACTTGTGAAAAAAAATTTGCATCAATGTACTTTGCGCTGGCAATCACTTCTGTTATTTTGCTTAAGAATTACTTCTAGCTGTAAAAATTTTATACTGTAACAAACTTAAATAATTAATGACATAATTTTCTTACCTGCGTTGTGTTCGAATCTATTGCTGTTCGAGAAAAGATACCAGATGTCAGAACTTCATTATCTTCACTTTCAATACTCTTTGAAGCAGATGAAGCGTCTATGAAAAAAAAAATCTCACTTAAATAAAAACAAAAAAAATGACTAGTTTCACACCCTCTTTACTTCAGAATCTCCCACAAACCTATGATCATCCATTAAAAATTCTGTCTTTTTCATCTAAAAATAGAAGTGAGTAAACTAGAGTTATATGCTACTAATATAGTCTACAAAAAACTATACTTGAAAAACCTGCACTAGTCGAATGTCGACTGCAAGCTCGTTTTCTTGTTCGAGACATTTTGTTTTTCTGCTCTTTTTTCTTGCTGTGTGATACCATTTTTAATTCCCGCTAAAAAAATGACTCCTGATTAATTTTGTATCTACTGTACAATAAATATTTGTGGTATTTGATGGTAGCAGTGCTCAACAAAAAACTACAGATGAATAAAATATATGAAATCGTTATTTCCTGCTACGTCATCCCATACTTTTGAGTAACGATGTTACCTTTATTATTTATTTTGCATCAATTCATCCATTTAATTACAGACTTGTCTTTTTAATTTTAAATTTGATTTCGAATTTGATTACTTTTTAATATTCCTTTTATTTATTTCACATTGATGTCATGTGCAGAAAAATTGTGCAATTTTGTTGAAATTAGATTCTCAAATGCTTCATACTGTACGCTGTAGATGCATTAAACTGATTCATAAATACTTTTCAGTAATTTTTCTGATAAAGACATGGCTCTTTTCTTTCATATATTCAGGTGTTGTACTCCTTACGATATTTTATTAGTGATCTGAGTGATTAGTTTTGTACTGAGACATGTGACAACTCTAAGGTAAATATAGGTCAATTTACATTGACCTCAAAAGTTTTGCTGACTTTTGTTCATTATATACATCTTGAGATTTATAATAAGTGTAGCACTAATGTTTGAATGTTAGAATCTTTATCCAGCAGTGTGACTTTCCATTCAATGCATATTTTGCTTAATCTTTGAGAAGTTTAGCAAGTTCAGATTTCCCCCTTTCTTTGATAATAAACATTTATTCAAAATCATATTAAAAAAGGTTTCTAAAATATTTCAAATCAATGTTTACAGTATTTTAGGCAAAGAATGAAGAGTAAATTGTAAATCTTTGAACATCCAAAAAGAAAACCCGACGGATTATCGGATATTAATTATTGCAAATGAAACTATCTGATGAAGCAGTTTAGTTCAATTTTAGTTCGGTATTTTGAAGAATATCACAAACTATCTACTGACGGTAAAATGCAATATGGTACTTAGAAGTTTTCACTGTGTTAAGTATTATTTTGATATTCAAATTTTCATTAAAAAATTGAATCATTCAAGCTATTATTGTACAAAGTATGAATAAGGCATAACTTAGAATAATAAATCTAATTAAATCTATAGATTAAGCAGGTTTTTTTTTTTGCATATTCAATTTTTCATCATTAATACTGACTGATATTAATGATGAAAAATTGAATATACAAAAAAATACTGACTGATATTATGCAAATATTTTTGATAGCATCATAATTATTCAAATATTTGAGCTCCACTTTATGAGCTAGCAGCTAACAAAAAGCATGCTAAAGGTTTTCAGATCATATTTGCTTTTTTCACTTCTGCATGAAACGATATAACGAATTCGCGGTACTTCATTGGCAGTTTTGCCTGAAATGTTTGCATAAATTAACAAATGTCTTCATCCATACAACTACATCATAAATGTTTAATCTCCATGTTCAAAAAAAAAAAAATTAAAAAGGAAAGATTTAGATTATTAAAAAAATTAGACGAGATTTAAAAAAGTAGATTTTTTAGACAGATTTTGCTATTAAAATATTTCTTATGATAAACCGTTAAGCATTATTAATTTTGTTTGATAAACTGTTAAGCATTATTAATTTTGTTGTTTCTTCTGTTATATAATTGAATATATAATATAGATATGTTTATTATTCACTAAAAACTATTTGTAGTCTTAATTGTATCATTGATAACACTTTGAAATGCTTTTTTATTAATACTTTGATGTAGTCCAGCACAGTTGTATAGATAAACATGTATTGTGCTTCATTTTGTACACTTGATGCACGTTGATTCCGCATTTCTTTGACCACTTGCGCGACCTAAATTTATGATTAATTTTCATTATTTGCACTTATATGAAGTATAAATTTTGTGCTATTTTACTAATAAAAATTAAAGTAATATGTTTTGCAAGAAGCAGAATTATTTGAAAATATACTTTGAGTAGCTCGTAAAATATGCAAATTTTATTAAGTAAGAAATAACTCAAGTAGTGTAAGCATCAAGAGTAATTAACAGTATATAAGATCTGACATTTAATGGTTGATTTTTCCAAAGACGTGACAGTAATGTGTCAATTGCAACTACAGTTCCGGTACGGCCAATACCAGCAGAGCAATGAATTATGCTAGTGGAAGACTAAAAATTGAAGAATCTGCCAAAATATCAAAAAAAAGCAAGAATTTTAATAAAATTAGCTATTCCATTTTTTTTTAAAGAAATAAATATGCTTACACTTTTGTAAATTTCACTTTAAAAATATGGCACATTCTTTGAAACAAAATTTTTTTGTAAATGACTACATTTGTCTAAGTAATTTAAAAAGTTTAAGATTGATAAAACTACGCTAGGCATCATTCTTATTAGCCTGAGAACGGTCATTCCACTTTGTGGTACGCCACGATCTGGCCAATCTGTCATGTGTATAAGCTTTACGATAGTTGAATTTGAACAACCTTCTGGTAGCACTTCCAGAAGATAAGTTTCGAATCTGTCTTCATGTTCAGACTACAAAAAATTCTTTTTAAATTTATCATGACTTTACAAAAGTCTAATATTTCTTTTGAAATTAAGAAATAAGGATTAAGAATTACTTGTAGAACAACATTATGATAAATTTTCACTTTAATAAAAATGCTATATTTGTGGTTATAAACATGTCACACTATGCTTTTTGGGGAATACTGTAATAACTTATCTATTCCAACTTCCATACCTAACATAATAATTATAATAGTAGTCATTTTATTTGGTATTGTATAATATGTAAAAATATGTATCACCATTTCGTAGTATAATTTAATTTTTATGCATAATTAAGAATATATAAGTACTGCGTAGTGTATAATTTAATTATAATGTATGATTAATAGTGTGTGAGTACTGTATGATGTATAATTTAATTTTAATAAATTAAAAACTAATCGAACCCTTTTGTTCATTACAAACATGCATCCATAAGTTTTATTTTCGCCATTTTCTGCTGGCCAATATTGAAAACATTTGGGTTTGCTGTCTTCCATTGTTTTGCACAACATTATGATTGTTGTAATCTGTTCCTGATGTACCATACGCCAAAAATCGCTTACTGTTGATTCAAGTGGTCCCTATTGTAAAGAAATACATAAAGTATTTTTATACAAAAAAATTTAAATTAAATAACTTAAAATCATGCTTTTAATATTCCAATTCTAATTATATTAATAAATAGCGTTGGTATATTTTTGATTTGTTTTAAAAAATTATAATCATTTGTAAGAGTTTTAAATTTCTTTAAATAATATTTCAGTGTTAAATAATCAATTTTAATGGAATAAAAAAATTATCAATTTAATAATTAAAGATAGCTAAATAATGGAATTCTGGAACTCATTATACCTGCGTAGCAATATAATTATGATTACATCCTTCCATTTTCATCCAATTTGCATGTATGTAATCTGTTTCAGGTGGAACATTTAACGTTAATACCACTCTGAAAATCGCAAACTCAAAATTATTTGCAAAATTAAACTTTATTAGAATAAAAAAATTATGTATTGAACAATATCTATGTATTTTATATAAATTAAATCAACTTTTCATATTTTAAATTGCTACAAAAATAATAAGTAACCTTGTAACGTCAAGACAGGGCACATCTCTATACCGGTTTCTAGTTTGATTTGCAGCAAATGCTTCATGTGCATTATTTGTAGGCACATACATTTTCAGTTCTGCGAATTCTCGTCGTAAGCCAGCAACTCCTGTCGCAAATTACCGAAAGTAGTTAATTAAAAGCTTTTCCTTTTTTTTGTTAAAAAAAACTCACATTTCCAAATATCAGGGTTTAAATTAACTTAAATACCTTCCAAATAACTTATCAAAACTTATTAAAATAACTTTTTTATTACTCAATTATTAGGTTAATTATGATTATTAAATAATTTTGTCAATTTTATATAATTAAAAAGTAAATACAAACCCATTGTTCGGACGTAATTTACATATTCTGAGATCAGTCTTTCCATTTCACCACTTACTGGTCTGCCTCCTCTTCTACGACGTGTTGGAGCTCTCTGTAAATTATTTGCAACAATTTTACAATTTAATCAAAAAATTTTAATAAATAGTTTTGAGTTTATTTTTGAGAGGGAAAAGAAGGCTTACTCTAATATTTCTGATATCTGCTGAAGGACCAGTAGTAGTTTCACCTTCAACTGTAATTTCCTCCTCCACCGTTGCATGTTTCCTGCGTCGACGGGTGCTACGTTTCATATTTCACCCTTTCTCCTCCAAATAAGTCAAATGTCCAAAAAATTTTTTTTAATTAATTAATTTAATATTTGTATCTTGAAGTATTGTACTCGCATTCTGTCTAAAAATTATTATTATTTAATAAAAATGACCTGAGCATAAACTATTTGCTATTTATAAATGAAAGACTTACTTGCTATAATATTAATTTCGTTTTATAAATTATTTAACCCTATTTTTTTTGCACCACTTCTTACAATGTTCTAATGTATTGTAAAAATTCTGCCTAAATTTTGTTGAAACATATATATTAGATTAAAACTCAAACAAGGTACTGTATTTCCTCTTGTTGCTGATGAAGGATAATGAAAATATACCGGTAAAGGTGCTGCATAAGACTGTATTTTAGTAAAAACAACCAAATACATATTTTTTTACCATTTATAAATGATTGATAGAAGCATATGGAAATTTTTTTGATTTATGCAAATTTTGATTAGTTAGTTGACCTTCATGTTATGTCTAATTCATTTTGGTTGTTAAATAATACTTGAAAATCATTGCTTACGATTTTTTTTTCAAACTGTTTAGCTTTTATTTTATATAGCATAAAAATTAGTCATTTCTGTTACTTTTGTTTATTTATATAGATCGTTATTAATTATTATTGGATTTCATTTCATGAAAATTATTTCCTAAAAGCAATGTTATAGCAATGGTTTTTCCATTCTATAAGATTACCTTATTTGATTAATCTTTGTTGATCTTATTAAGATCATTATAATGTCTGTATTTGTAGCAAATCATATTACTATGATCAATTGATTGATTAATTTCCAAAATTGTGATCATTTGCAATAAATTATCATCACTTTTTAGAGTTTCAAATTTTTGTAACAGAAGTTTTGTATTTTATTGTACATAGATGACAAACAGAGATTAATTCTTGAACACCAATTAATTATCAATATCTTCTTCATCTTTTTCTGTATCAAATGGAAATGCTAATAATTGTTCCAATGTAATTGAATCTGTAGATGATGTTCGAGCAGCTGCAAAAATATCCAGAGAATATTAATATTTATTTTGATTACTAAGTTAATTTTTATATATATTTGTGATCATTATTATTATGATTATTAAGTTATCTATTATTTGTAGTTATTAAGTTTAATAATAATTTTGTATAATTGATTAAGACAAATAAAAATAACCATTATAATCAAATTCAGTTGGTGGAGCTATCAGGCCTCGTTGTTCAAATTGTCTTAAATAATTACATAAATGTTTTAATCTTCGCTCCTTACTTCTTCGATTTTGGAACCAAACCTAAAATAAGCCATATAACAATCCATTTATATAATTTTTGCTTAAATTTGATAATTTATAAAATTTAAAGCATACAATAAAAATTTATTAATAAAAATTAAACTATTACAAAGGTAATTTATGAATTAAAAATTTAAATAACCTGTATAACACGCATGCTAAGACCTGTTTCTAATGCCAGTTTAGCTCTTGCATGTTTTGATGGTTTTGGAGTAGAAGTGAATGTTTTGTTTAGCATATCTAACTGAAAATGAAGTCAAACTTTTTAGCATTTTAAAATAATTAAAAAATTTGTCAAGATTTATTTTTATTTATAATTTAAAATTATTTGTAAAAAAATTACGTGCAGTAGATTTATTAAATTTACTTGATATTGTTTAATTGTCGTGCGTGGCCCACGGCGTTTGAGAAATTTTGAGACATCGCTATGATCATATCCATACGTATCATATGAATATGCAAATATACTTGTTGGAGAATTAAGCTCCCTTAATAATATTCAAATTGTTTTATTAGGTCAATTTTTTGAAATAAAAAATATTCAAATTATTTTATTAGGTCAATTTTTGAAATAAAAAAGATAAGTGTTATGTTAACGTTTTGTATGTTTTTCTTTCTTTTTTTTTGGAATTTTTAAGCATTTTATGCTTTTTTTTGCATATTTTTTACAACAGCAACAATTGAATGAAATTAAATTTATTCTGTTGGTCAAATGTATGGTAAAATTTGCATATATTAAATTTTGCAAAAAATTTATTTTTAATTTTACTAAGGGAACCCGAAAGAACCAGAAAATCTTAAATTTTATTTTTTTTTACCAAATTTTTAACAATGAATTCAAATTTTTTTTATTTGAAAGGATCGGATTTAATATTTTGTTAACTTTTATTCTTTTTTTTGCTAAAAATTTCAAAAATTTTTTATTATTATAAATAATAAAAATTAAATTAGAATTAGTATAAAATATTTTTTAGGTACTATTTTTTAATAAAAAACCTTAAAGTAAAGTCGGATGGTAAAGTAACATCGCCTGCTCTTATAACACAAACTGTTGGTTTGGCAGGCATTGAAATTCCAAATACTAAAATTAAACAAAAATAGCAATGATTGATATTTATGCAAATTTTTTTCTACACTTTTGTAGTGATCTGTTGTTGTTATATTCATTAATAATATTAGCATAATTGATTTTGTCTACGTATGATAAATGATTATCAAGAACATATTTAACAAAGGTCAACTGAGTAAATTTTTTTTTTAATATTGTAAATTAACTAACAATCCGCGCGGCAGACTGTATGAGCTATACATGTGATATTTTTAGATACTTCGTCGATAAAAACTTGTTCTCCTTGCGTTATTTTCCTACCACATTGAGCACATCGATGACAAAAAATATGATAGAAAATATTCTAAAATGATTACAAATTTATTCAAAGTTATGCAAACACAAATTAATTTGAGTCAGATGTTCACAAAATTTTGAATGTAATTATTAATTAATTTTTGTATAATTAACAAGTACCTTCATCTTGTATACCATTTCTGTGGGTCCAATCCCTTGTCGACAGCTGCCACAACGATACGGACTATTTTCTCTGCAAAAATTTATCTAAAAAAATATTTATATAATTTAGTTGTAAATAAACTTAAAGCATTAATTTCAAATAATAGTTAATTTATAACTATTATAAACAAGTTACAGCATAGCATTTTTTGCATTATAGAAGATTTTGTTAAGTGCAGAATTTAGCATTTTTGATAATTATATTGACAAATACTGTAACGTAAAAACTGAATTTTTTAAAATTTGTGTTAAAAATTGTATGCAATTAGTAAAAATTACACATAATAATGAAGGCGACAGTATACGTGACCACTTTTTTCGAAGCACTTTTCTTGTAGAAGAATAGAACAAACAGTACATCTCACACAATTTTCATGGTACACCCAATCGCATATCTATTGTAAAAATTCAATTTTCAAATTTTTAAATTACGTGAAGTCACTTACATATTTTATTCGAGATTAATATTATTTTGAAAGTCGAAAAATAGTACCATAATGTAATTATTGCATATATTTGTTACCATAACATAAGGATAGTTCTAAACTTAAAATTGCTGAAACTGAAGTTATTAGAAATAATTTGATCACACACTTGTAAATGAAAATTTTCAAAGTTTTGTTCAAATACCAGAATGGCTACGGTATAACTTAAATTTATGCATTTGTTAATTTTATTTAAATTTATTAATTTAAGAAAACGATCATCGGGATATTTATACTTACAATTTTCTTATTCATAACCTCTGATCATATGTACGTTTACTTCTTTTATATTTGATATCACTGATTAGGCATTATCATCTTCAGATTTCAAAAGTTTTGATCAAACTAATAGATTTTTCCATTTTAATTTTTACATGAAAAATTTTGTTACAGTATGACAATAAAAATAATGAACTTATTTATTATTTATATTGTTTAAAAAGGAGAAAATTGTCAAAACTTGAAAGAAATTCATTTGTTAAAAATACTTTTAACATAAATTCTTCGCTAATCGCCAATTGACATTTTTTGCATATATTCTGAAATAAAATCAGGAATCAGTTCGTTTTATTAAATTATTGTTTGAATATAGTTTGACTATTTAATTGGCGAAATCTTTTAACAGTTCTATTTTGATCGCTTATCACTAAAAAATTAAACCATTTAATCATCGTTGCATAATGCAAATGTCAAAAATTGCTTGTAATTAAAATCACTTTTGCTATTGCATATTATAAAGATATATTAATAACTATAAAGTAACTAAAATACGAAATCGTAATTTAAAGTTAAAAAAATTAAAGCAAATGAAATGAAAAGAATAAATCAAAGTAAATTTATGTGTATTTTCATTTTGTAAAGTTAAAAAATAATTTATTCGAATGATATTCGCAAAAAATGACCTTTGTATCGTCTGATGTTTGTTTACCAACAGAAGTTGAACTGTCCGCTAGTTTGACCACTTTGCCATCAGCAGAAATAATCGGTTTTTGATCTATGCAAGAGAACATTGATCCTACAAATGTTTGGATTTGGAATATGGTGCCAATCTTTGCTGTCTAAAAATGGCCTCCAACAATCTTACGGTAGCTCTCTTTGAACCAACAAAAACAGTAGTTTTAGTAAAAAGGGCGGAGTTCATGGGTATTCTTGATAACAAATGAAATTTACGCTTGGTGCACGAAAAAAATATAATTAAATTATAACAAATTATACTGATATGTAAGGTATTGATAATATTACTGATTAAAGAAATCTCTTATAATTTTTTGCATTAGACATTCTCTTTTTTAGTTTTTTTTTTTAATGATTGCGCAAAATTTTACTTTACCAAAAAATTTCTGCTCAAATGCCAATTGAAAATAATCTGAATCACACAGTATAAGTAATAACTGTAACAATTCATGCACTATTTTTTGTAGGAAAAATTATTAAGAGCAATTCATGTTTTTCATTGTATTATTATTATTTTTTAAATATTAGAGCTGTTTAAAATAAACAGATTTAATTAAGAATTCATATAAGTTCATTATAATTAGTTTCAAAAACTTGATTTCAAAAATAATTTGAGTTCAAATACAATATTAATTTTAAAAATAAATGGTTAGAAAAATGAGTAGGTAAATTTTTAAAACAGATGAGCGACTTTTTATCTGTATTGGATACTTGAAATTATTCGAAATTTAATAAAAAAGAATATCCCAAGTTTAATATATTTAAGATAATTAATAACGAATCCAAAGATATGAAAATTTAAATACCATGAAGGGTACTTTTTTTAATTTAAAAATTATTATTATCTAGATATATCGTTGACTACCTATTTTTTAATTATTTAGATATCCAAATCTTTGACTAACTGATATTTTTATTTAGATACATACCTATTATTTTTATTAAAATATTCAAATCTTTTACTACCCCTTATATTTTTATTCAAATTTTTTACAACCTGATATTTTTATTTAAATATTCAAATCTTTGACAAGCAAATGTTTTTATCCAGATTTGCTGAAAGCTTAATTTGAACAAATTTTTAACTTTTTTTCGTTAGAATAAAAAAAAAAAATTTTTGTCAATAAAAATAGAGCTATTTTAGACAAGTTCCTTGAAGCTTATCTATAATGCATTGTTGACATAAATGTGAATATGAAATTGTTAGTGTGTGCAATTTAAAATGCAACGAACATCACAGTTTTGCTCAGGTTTTCATGTCAATTCGTCAATGTCATTATGCATGCCTTTCAATAGCCAATTTCCTTGCCATCATCAACAATTACACCATTTTACTGAACAATTAATTTGCAGATATTCAGGGGAAAGCTGAATTTGGTCTTGTAAAAAAATTGAGCTGCGCGAAATCTTATCAAAAAATTTTTACTCAAATTAAAACTGACATTTATGCTAGTTTCTTTGATACATTTTTGATTTTAATTAGAAAATATGCAAATTAATTCTACTAAGCATTAAAAAGTAAACGTAAAAAAGCATAAAGTATAAGTAATTTTCCTCTAAATTACTTTGATAATTTTGCTAGAAACAAGTATTGTATAACATAATTTATACATAATCGTGAAATGCTCTAAGAATTTTACATATTTTTTTAAATTGAAAAAGTGTAACAACAGATTTTATCAGACTAATTAAACAAGCTGATATATTTTTAAACTTGTTTAATTTATGTGATAAAATTTGGTGTTAATTTTTGTTCATTTGAAAAAAATATAAAATTATGCGCAAATATTTTAGACATAAAAGGTATGATAAAAGTTTATTTTATACAATTCACATTTTATTTTTATTTACTTTATTATAACTATGTTTTATTGTCTGAAATTATATCATTTCCGAGTATAATGTGTAAAAGCTAATAAAAATAGATAAATTCAACAACAATAAAAAATACTTTTTTAGCATAATTTAGTTGCTACTAAAAGTTATTTATCACATTCATAAATTACTAACTTAGTCATTTTTCTCATTGCGTGTTTGAAATAATAGCTAATATTGATAGCAATTACAACTGCGCATCTCATTAGCTAAACGAAACCAACCAATTTACCACGATGAACTGTCACCTCATCTCTGCTTTAGCTATTAATTATTCATTCATTACGAGTCCAGAATTTATCTAGCATTGATTTACTTGTTTATTTGCGCTTAATTATTTGAAAACCTATTCATTGATAAATTTTCTAATAATTAGCTCAAAGCAAAATAATTTTACAAAAATATTAATTTTCAAATTTTTTAGCAAATTTTTTTTTTAAATTTTTTGAATTAATAATTTTAATGCATACGACTACTTTCCGAAAAATATCATTTAAAACAAAATATGATTTATATAAAAAATTTACTTAATGATATCAAAAATTTATTGCATTAAAATTATTAATTACACTTTTGCATAAATTTACTTAATTACACTTTTGCATAAAGTTTAAAAGTTTAGGTATTTTTATAAAATTTTTAAAACTTATAAAATTTCGAAAACTTATAAAATTTTTAAAACTAATAAAATTTTGAAAACTAATAAAATTTTCAATGCTTCTCATATGGAATAATTAGCATGTAGAAAATAATATTTACGATTTTCTTGTTGATGAAAAAAAAGTTTTGTATTCTTTAAGAATTAAAACAAATTATTACGATTAATTTTCTTTTGTATATATATAAATTAAAAAAGATGTAATTTTGATCTTTTGTAAACTTTTTTAGTACTATTATCAAATGGAATAATTGTTTTTTTTTACTAATCTTCTACTACAATGCATTCATATTATTCAATGTATTGTGTAATTCGTATATCATTTTTCTATATTTATTATAATTATGCGTTATTGGTTCATAACAATTATTTTTTGAGTGTTTTGTGTAAAAATTAATAAAAATAGTTACATATTTTTATTAAAATAAGTTTTGGATAAAGTATTTTACGTGTATGCAGCATTTATATCATCTACTAACCTAGAATTCATTTCAAATAAAATTAATATAATTTAAATTTTAAAACAATTTGTAGTTACAAAGTAATTTTCAACACTGAATACATATATACTGCTTTGAAATTGGTGACATATAAAATATTTTATTTAAAGTTTATTTTAAAAAATTTTAGTACTGTAAATAATTGCATTTTAAAAAAATCAAAAACTATGAAGTGTGTGTTTAAATATTATATAAACAGCTGGTGAAAATTAAGGTGCACACATTAATGATTAATTTATAATCAAAAATTAGAAATAAAATTTTTTAACAAAATTTTCTTGTTGAAGTAAAATGATAAGCCAAAATAAACGGTGGAAGCAGAGAAAAAGAGGAGTTCAAAATGGTTACTGTAAACAGGTCAGAAGAGAGAGGGAGAGGAGGTTGGCTTGTTTAGGAAGTAATTTAAAAAACATTTTAATATGAAAATCAGATCAGCAAAATTTATGTATAACTTTTTAATTTTCGCAAAGCATGAAATGCAATGCGCAAAAAACAAAAATTTAAACAAATTCATTTTTTGCGTCTTCATAATATGACTGTTGAATATCATTGTTTAGTGCAAATTTCAACGCCTCTTTCAGAGAATCAGATTAAGTAAGCGAATCTGCAATACAATAGTAACAAAGTATATGTAGTTATCAAAATATGAAAAACAATTTTTAACGCATTGGTTGAGAGTAGACGTGACGTGATATCGATAGAATGCGTTAAGCATAAAAAAAGTAATCATTCAGTTATAAGGTTGACACAAACTAACGCAAAAATAACGTGATGCTTCAATAGTGCATAAATAACAAAATGTAATAATTAAAATAATAAAGTACTGTTGTACTTCACATTAATATTAGTTAACTACTTTTTTCTATACGTGTTGATTAGAGACGAATATTTGTATATCACAATGCTTT